AAATTATTATGGCAATGAGGAACAGCTTTCAACGACAACTCTGTCTGCATTGAGACACTCGCCCAACACATTAAGGACGGCTATTAAATCCGATACAAGCCCCGTCTACTAGAGCTCTCAGTCTAGCTGCATTTTCGAGTACTGGGAAAAAATGTTGACTCGGTGCGGTCCCCAAAATCCCGGGAAAAAATTATTTTTTCGAGATTATTTTAAAAGTAACGGTTGCACGCTCCACGGTCATGAGTCAACCCGTTACATGGCATGAAATAAACAGTTCCGAAATATCGGGAAAATAAAAGGAATCCATCTCGTAGTAAGAAACCTGTAATTAGCGATCATCATTAAGTGAATCACCACGAAAGCCTTAAAATTTAATATTTCAAAAGTAGGTTTCCATATTTATATTCTAGTCATTTAGGCAGTCAAAACATGATATTATTGTAATTGAGTTAGTTATTAACTGAAATTATAAAACAAAAAGTTACTTATAGAAGGGTTTTTATTTTTACAGTGGGCACTTAATAAAGAAACGGTATTTAACATAATTTCAGATGGAGAGGGCTTGATTTTATACTATCGCTCTTAAATCTCCACTAGCACGACAGGGCGCCACTAGCGAAAGAGCGACATAGAGCGCGAGACACTGCTATTCTCGCATAGCGATTTCGCGGTTTATGTCGCTCTCGCGCAATTCGCGTCTTGTTATGCTAACCCTACAGATTATACTAATCTCTCTACAGTGTCGCGATGTCTACGTAAACAGAACAAAAAAATGGCGGCTGGTTTAGTAGGCTTTAACTTTTTAGAACTAGTTTAATTAAGTAACTAAAGTATGAAAAGCTTCGATATTGCCGAGACTGATAGCATCAGACTAAAAATAACGACTCTCAAAATTTTTAATTCCCCCGGCATGAAAGCCCTATCGACTACACAATTGAGTTAACCGTGAGAGCACTTGTGCCAACCAGTTGTATATCTTCTCTCCCCCATCTGTTGTAATATTATTAGACAAATCAGGGAAATGTATTTTTAGTTTAGCACTTAATATCTTAATTGTAGTTTGTGCAAAGCTAATTCTGATAATAAATTATGAATATAACATAATGAACCGAAGACGAAAGATGTTTGGGCATCCGATACGTCACGACAGAAGTGTCACAGAAGAGAAGATCGACGGAAAGAGAGGCAGAGGAAGACCGAAGTGAAGTTATTTAAATCAGTAGGGCTAGCACGTTACCGCGCGACTTGCACGAGAGCGACATACGGTGCGATCTCTATACGAGAGTAGCAGTATCTCGCTGTATGTCGCTTTCACGGAAGTCGTACCCTGTCGTGCTAGCCCTACTGATAATAGAAAAAGGTAATGTAGAGTCGTATCAGAAAATCAAAGGTAGGGCGCTGAACAGAGATGGTTGGAGATTACTCGACCGACAAGAGCTTAGCTCTTAAATAGGAAGAAGGTGATATAATATTATATAAAGACAAGCGTAATAGGCGCACAAATGTCGAGTTGCGAACACCAGCTCGTTACACCATACTAATCCATAATATTGATGGCGTCACCGAATAAATGTGTGGCGGTGTGACCTCCTTGCACCGTCATCCCACCTTTTTGTATCGCCTCTCTTCACTCGTATCGTATCGTTTTTAAATTCAAATTTGTATTTAAATTCAAATTTTTGAATTGTTCCATTCTTTGCTTCGCATTCCGATTTTGTTTCATGCCATCGTCACTCTCTCCGCGACCGCGGTAGCGAAAACATCTACTTTCTTATTTTTGAACCGTTTACATTTCAAGATATTAATATTGTTGTTGTACCTACTGAATAAATTCCTATAAACCGGACTTTCGTCTTTTCAACTGCTAAAACTTGCTAAGTAAGACGTATGGAGGCTGCGGGGGCTACGGAAGCTATTTCTACCCTTGGAACAGGCTATATTACTGCTATCCATGCTATTTTAGTCTACAGAACGCCACCAGAACCAGCAGCGCTATCACACTGGCGCCCGAACTAATTTAAGAGAAACTATGAAGAATACAAATAAATGAAGAACAAGACAGTGAATTTTTTTTAATAACAATGTAATATTGTGAAAAGTGATGTTACATAATTCATTGTACACTGCAGATCGCCTACACACCCCATATTTCAGACAAGAGAAGACTGCCGTTACATTCAGCTGGTTACAAATGTAACTGAACCCAGAGTTGGTGTACCGGTAGCACAACAAGCACAGTCCTATCAAACACCAAACTTCCACAAACTTCAACAGTACACTTTCTTCATATTTCGATATCTACCCATGTGTAGATTCACAAGTCGTTGAAACTGGAGTTTAAACCTTCGGTTATTCCAAGCGGAGACGATACTGACTTACAGCTTGTTTTGGGAGAGTATCCCTACAAGTCACTGCTACTCCTCAACATTATACACCACATAATTACATAAAAACATCTCATTGTAGTATTTACAGTATTTCCTAAATTACATTTTCTATTTTGTAACTTTTATAATTGACGTAATTCTTTTTCGTTTATTCAAATTTTTTACTTACTGTCAAATTTATTTTTCTCGTAATAATGCCAAAATTTATTATTCACATTTCTTTTGAAATAATTCAAAAGTTTGTAAACCGACCTGCATGTAATACTCTTTTGTCATTTTTTCTTAATACGATGGAACGATCAAAGTCAGAAAAATATCTTAAAACATTACCGCGAAAAGCCAAGAGAACAATAGAAACATATCTAATGTAAATATTCATCATCATATTTTTCGGTTATTAGTATTCGGTATTCGGTTTCATTTACGTTAATTAACGTCTTTTTTTTTTTACTTTTCTTCAGAGCGGTCTCAAAATAAGCCTAGGGTCACTCTTAAATATACTCTTACATTCATATTCTATTTCCCCTAATTACTCCCTTTTAAACCTTTACAAGGTTCACACGTCTGACGTGCTGCTGTACCTCAGCGTACAGGCAAGTGGGCATTGAACCACTTGTACATAGAGCATCATATCATTACTTTCACAATGTTATGATAGTTTATCATACATGATCTACACGTTTATTACGTATTATACACGTTTATTCAGTGGAGTCATGCAAGTATATATATAAAAGAAAGACAATTAGTCGAGAAAAGATAGGATAGGATAGGAAAAGATAGTTTGTCGACTGGAGGTCTCGACGTAATCGGCGTGGCGTATGTATTTTGCAAGTTTAAAAAAAAAAAACTCAAATCCTTTTCCCTCCAAAAAGCGCATCCTTTTACGTACGCCACAGCCGCACACATCTACTTTGTGTTATTTAATGTTTTTGCTTTGTCATTTCTTTTGTTTTGTTTCTTTTATTCTATTTTGTTTTTGCCTTAATTTAGCTTTCTTTTGTTTCTTAGTGTATTTTTGTGTTGTGGCGTTGTAATAAATGAATTCTATACTATACAAATATAGTTTCAATCAACGTTTTTTACACTTAAGCTGGTAACACATAAAAATAAATTTAGTACGTAGGCGTCCCGTAATTCAAGTAAAATCAGGTGAAGAGAAGCCGATACTACATTAAAATAAATCCGGTCAAATTCATCGGCGGCGGCGTGGAAAGATCGGCTGTGGCGCGAAAAAAATACAAGGATGTCCTTACATTTGTCGCACAGCTTGACCCAAGCTATAGAGTACATAAGCGCGGCAATGAGGGGTTTTGGTCTGACGTCATAGGAATACGTTCGAATAAATGTTTCATTTAATGTCTAAAATTATTTAGGTCACAGACTTATCACAAATCATGACTACACCTTTTGTCATTGTAAGATAGTATAAGCCGTAACTTCGCGCCAAAACGTATTTAAATTCCGAATTAAAATGTCTACTATATGGACGGTAGAGGCGGGGGCGGATTCCACTACGACATACTTCTCAATGTTGCGCACTCTAAGGTTAAAATAAGTCTTGAAATGATGAAATGATGAAATGTGATGTATTTCGCAAATTAGCGTCTATTCGTACCTATTTTGTTTGCAAATTTGAAGGGTTAATAACCGCTACTTAATGATAGGCCTATGCTTAGGGTATTACGTCTATAGTCTCTTTTTTGAAAACGTAGTAAAATAACAGTTTATTGTGCAAAAGTGTTGCCCGCTAGCGAGTAGTGATTGGAGTCGATAAATATTCAATCGACTATCGACTGAATATTGGTCATGCTTATGGAATAATAGCCGAACCTGTTTCATTTGAATCATCCTCGACGCATTAAGACTATCCACTTACATCAGGGCCGTGCCCGGGACGTAGCCGGGGCGTGCTAGTTTGTATGAACTGCGGGCCCGTCGCGGCCCCGGCCCGGACACTGACATGTGTGAACGATTTCATACAAAATATACGCAACGATATTTTTCTGAGCCCCTGACGGAGCACGGCCCGTCCACGTCCCCGACACGGCCCGGATATGTGTGGATAGACCATTATTCGTCCAATTACTGAGCACAAGTTCATTTGAGCACAGGTTCATTTTTGAAAGTTCATACATACATACATTGTATTTAAAACTATGTTTATGAAAAAGACAACTACATAACTATTTAAAATTTTATGAAAACCGGTAACCCTACAAATGTCATTTTACTCCGTCTTCAAAAAAAGACCGATTATAACTTACACCTCGACCTCGGTGGCCCTACGATTTGTACACAGTGCAAAACGTTAGCAGATACCAGTTCTGCTCGATTAAAATGGTTAAAATAGACAAAAAAAAATGGAATTCCCAAACTCGAATTAGGTGGTCTTCAATTTATATGGGTGTGAAAAAAAAAAAGTGTGAATAAATGGTAAATAATCAAAACTAGTACAATAAAATATGTTTAATAACCCTGTATTACTTGCGTACAGAATAGAAATTGATAGAATAGTATAGAGTAACTTCAATACGATAATAATCTTTGATGGTTACTTGAACAAGTAAAGTGGTTAATGTAAGTAATACCGCAGTTAATTAAAGCACGTACCTTGCGCCCACAATGACTTGGTCTCTTGCCACGTCGAATAGCAGTTGCGAAAATGATTTAGCGTTGTTCGGTTCATCTTGGAAGACATCGCTGTCTGACGCCAGTAGATCTGTAAATATTTATAAACTCAATTACAGTCGCATGATTAAGCAGTTTTAACGCTGCGGAGAGTCTTGTTACATTTAAGGCGCTTCACACATAGTAGTAACGCAACGCGGCTCAAGAATTAAGTATCGCATTTACTTGTACGGAACCGTCCACCTGTAGGGCTGGCACGACAGAGACTTGCGCGAGGGGAACATAAAGCGCGAGATCTCTATGCGAGAATATCTTCGCACTCAGGTAGGACGCTGCAGAGACAAGATGTGAAAATGGGGTTTCAGGGAAGCTAGTCTGACCATTGGGTCAGACTAGCTTCCCTGAAACCCCATGCTGCGATGCCCCAACACAATCCAGAGACAAAGTCCAATAATCTTTTCATTGGGGTCCTGATTGTATAGTCTCACTGGAGACTATTGGGTCTAGATGCGGGTGAGAGATCTGAGAGTCGGCTGCTACTTTTTTATAATTTAATTTTTGTGCAACTACTTATTATTATTACCGTAAGCCTAGTCTTTAAAGTTATATTTGTAAGTTACTAACACTATTGGACCTTAAAAAAGAAAAGTTGTGTTGTCTGAATAAATAATTATATTATTATTATTTATTTCATACGTAAGCAAATTACACTTGAAATCGTCATACTGATTAAACTCTACAGCTCATTCGTAAGGCAGATTCTCCTGAGAAGAATGAACAAGAAACTCAGGGTTGCTCTTTGTAAATATACATTTGAATACATTTATCATTACAATAGTTAATTTAAAAATCTTAGATCGAGACTATAAAGTTTTTGTTTCACTATTGTTTGAAACCTCGTAAATAGCAAATTTTGAATATCAGTCGGAATCTTATTATAGAAGCGTATTGCCCCAATGAATTTAAGACTTTGTGAAGACGACTGTCAAGAGCAGCTAGTTCATTTTTATTCCTCGTATTAATGTTGTTACTATTTTTCATAAAAAAATTACTTATAATAAATATTTTTCTTAACAACATCTTCATAAATGTACTGTGACGTTAGTGTAAGAATGTTAATATCTCTAAACTTATCTCTCCCTCTTGGGCCCAGATTATAAATTGCCCTAACCTAACGTTTCTGCAGGACAAAGATTATATTAATATCGGCGGGATTACCCCAGAGCAAAATGCCGTAAGTCATTAATATGAAATAAAATAAAAATGTTCTATAGACAAAAATTTCACTCGCAATTTTTTTTTACACACTTATAATTGCGAGACCCAGTCTATGAACAGGTAGTCCGTTTCAAAATACCTAATGTACTAAGTAATCCTTGTAGTCAAGGTTAACAAGGCTCATCTCTGTACGCAATGCAAATAATCGACTTATAAACTGGAACATACAAGAACAAACACATTAACGCTCAAGGTCAAGTCGTGCAAAATTAACAGGACTTAGCATCGCAAAGACTAGAAATACCTGGAACTAATTTAAGTAAATATGATCGCACAACATAACAAATACAATTCGCAATACAAAGAATTTATAATTTAAAAAGAGAAGCGTCGACATTAGGAAAATAAGCAATTAAGCTTATTTGTGACACAAAAAAAGCCGTGGTAGCCTAGCCGCTTCGCGAACAGGGCAGTCGTAGGTTTAAATGCAAGCTTGCATCTCTATGGTTTTCGGAACTAATGTACGATTTTTGATTTGAAATGACCTTTTAACTTTTTGTTTGGTTGTTGTTGAATTTTTTATTTATTGTGTAGTTTTTTTAGGAACTTAATATCATAATAATTGAATTATTTCTATGATTATTAGTACAAACATCGAGCACATAGGAAAATTTCTCGGACCCAAGACTGCTGCATCGTAGCATATTGCTCTTTCTATTTCTTTCTGTTTTGAATTTCTTTCCTTATTGAATTCTTTTTATTACTTGTTCTTAAATTATTTTCTGTTAATAGATTCTCTCTTCGCTACAAATTATCTCGATAAGATATTTAAATCGATTTTTTTCATTCCATCTTACTTCATTATATTTCTAGAAACTTCAAATATCAAACGTCACAGGAATCAGAAATAAGTGAAATAAACTATAAAGTTTTGTACTGTTTGTCGTGAGTACATCATGGTAGTAGCAGTAGAGTTCCTTGTGAAGGAGTTCGTCCAGAAAAGTATTTCCACCCTACCATTTCTGCTGTCAAGTAGTAATAAGAGTATTATTGCGTTCCGGTTTTACAGGCACATGAGACTTATCAACTTATGTCACTGGGTAACAGTGTCCCTCTGATAATTGCGATTTAAATTTATTAAGTTTCAGTGACACTGCTACTATCATGGATGACTATCCACATTGTGTCGCTTACCACCAGACATTTTTTCTATCATAAAGATATCATTAATAAAGCTTGACACTTTGGGTCATTATATTTTATTTTTATAAAAAATAGCAGTAGGATACTTATAAGTAAAAGTTTATGACACGGACTGGACGGGAGGAAAACTAGGAAGGAAAGGGAAAATGATCAAGAGAGCTTGCAAGGTAACACACAACGATGGCTTTCTAGAATAGAGCCCTATCTCAAAAGCGTTTTAATCTTCAGAAAATAGGTTTAAAAGTACTGAGGCGTGTCTACCGCGCGTAATTGACATACCGTAGAACATCCCAGCGTTGTCATGTGATTATTTTAACCAATGAAAAGCTCGGTGTCTCATTCAAAATAAAATTTAGAATTTTCTAAACAAATCTCAGTTATAAAATTGGACGACTACTATTTAAAAGCAACTATGTAATGAATATTATAATTTAAAATAGATATACAGACTACACGATACTCATATCGCTCTGTTAAATGCAATAGTGTATTGACTCAAAAAGTGTATTTTTTTCAGAATCGATGAAAAACGTTTTATTCGCTTCCCATGAAAGATTATTAAAATGTACACATAGTTGTAAACGTTGTTTAAATCCGGACCAATCGTTTCAATACCTATTTATGTATAGGTTAGGTTTTATGACATGTAAACAATGTCCTATTTGACAAATACATATATTAGAAAACAAAAGAGAAATATGTAATTTCTTATTTTTGTTTAAGACCTGTTTTGTCTAGAACCAGCTCACAAAACGTTTGTCTCATTTTGAGTGAAGTAGATTTTTTTTTGTTTCCCACAATGTTCTAACGACGTTTGTATTGACGTGTGGAAATTCAAATTTCACATTCTGCAATAATACAATCTTGATTTTGACATATTTTGAGTTACAACACTATTGTAATAGCAGTGCGATATACGGACTAAAATTGTATATTATTAACAATAACAAATGAATGTTGTTATAGTACAGAATTCGCTAGTAGCATAGAGTAGAGTACAAGCTTGATGTGCTCTTGACCGTGTACTATCCTACGTGACTTTAAATTTAAAAAGTACATAATATCGATGTTTCTATATTGCAACAATTTTGGTACTGTAGTCCAAGAGCCTAACGGTGTGTCTAACGCGCAGCTGTGTTTTCATTAATTTTTGAACCGACTACAAAAAAAGGGAGTTTTTCAATTATACTGTAGTTTTTGGTTTTTGTGTGTGTGTTACGCGATTACTCCGGCATTTGTGAACCCATTACAGTGATTCTTAAACCCATTTCAATTTGAAGAAAGTAATCCACTTGTAAGGATGGCAAACTAGGAGATGAATCCAGCTTCGCGTAGTATCCGGCAAATAGATGTAATCTAACGAACTTTCGAGACAGGTTTGTTTTTAATAAAAAAAGTTACAATTATAAAAAAAAACGATTTTTTTAACAATATCGTTAGGGACACCGTGTGTCCCTAACGTGTGTGTGTAAAAAGTACATATCTACGTGCGGTAGTTCCTAAATTGCACCAGCTTTCACATCTTTTTACTTTTGACACCTTTATCAACTCTAGATTAGCGCAAATCTTGAAAATGTTCTCTCATTTCATTGAAACTATCCAAAACACAATTTTGTACACATACGAGCATTATCATCCATGTGAAAAATACCTCCTGGCTACAAATTCTGTTAAAGATTTACCACATTATGGCATTCTCAATATATAAATGGGTAATTTTCAGATTAATTTTCTGTACCTAGTATCCTGAAATATTATGTAATGTTTCTTCATAATATACTCGAATACTTAAATAATAAAAATTGCTACCAAAATTAGAGAAAATTGACCTCAAAATTACCCAAATACCACCACAAGGGAATTATGTTAGAACGTGTAAACATAACTAAATTTTATTTTCGCAATAGGTAGTAATGCAAGTGTCAACAATATATTGGATGATGTTACCTTTTCATTGATTAAGCAACAATATTTGTTACTAGTTACTAAAACAATACAAACAAATACTGTTAAATACTAAATAGAAGACTTTCAAAACAATTGCGTAATTCTATTTCCGTGCGGACGTCTACAAAAACATCTATCTACATGCAATTGTTTAGGTTAAATTTATTGTATAGAGATATTACAATAGTGCTTATAGCTAGCCAAGCACGTGAGTCCATATTAAAAATACTTATAAACTACTTCAAAACAACACTGCTTGGAATGATACCACCGAACACAACGTAAACTTCCGTGTCAATTTAATGAGAATTGAAATTACTTAAGTTTATACAAACCAATTAATTGTATGTGCTTAAACCTTTACAAAATAATTATAACAGCTTTCAGATTTTGGTCTTATGTAGGACATCAATAACTGTCTCAAATGAACGATAACCTACGGATGCACAGCCAGGCAAGTATTGTAATAAGTAATCCCACACCACAACCATTGTAGAAAAATTCGCTTTATAAATGGGTTTAGTTAGAATAGAATTAAAAAGCTGTATCAGGGGGTCTACTCTCGACCTCCGTCCGAAACAATTACTGTCAAATAAGTAATATTCGACAAAATTAAAAGACAAGTATCAAGTATGAAGCTTCATTCGCATCACGCGTCTTTTCATTTGGTCAAGTATTGCTTATTTGGCAGTAAATGTTTCGGACGGATATCGGACGGAGACCGAGAGTAGACCCCCAGATCCGAATCCGAGAAATGGTGGTTCGAAATAGTCACAGGGATCATTTCATCTCTAGGTGTACAAGCGCTATTCTTATTTTCTAGTATTTGAATAGGACTTAGTGCACGAGCGACATCCGAAGTGGGTCCGAGTTTTCTAGATTTGTATAGTCTCTGATTCAAAACAAATACGAATGTTGAACTGTGCGCAATCGCGCTAATGATTTGACGTACAGCCTGTCAAGATTGACAATTCATTTAGACGTTTAAGCTGAAGTTTTTTGGATAAAAGCATGATAGAAGACAGCTATTTTCTCTTTCTCGGAATTTATGTGAGAAATTGAATTTGAAATTTACCATGAGCTTTTCGGTGAAGGAAAACATGATAATGATGAAGCCTTACACGTTCACAACACTCGGATAAAGTGACAGAGCAGCGTGGCGAACTAAGGCCCAAACCCTCACCTGAGAAGACAAGTGCCTCGCAGTGGGACTCGAAATCTCTCTTACAAGTTTCGAAATGCAAGGCTATCGAGATCAAGTTTTCAAGCAATTTGAACTTACCTTGTCGACTGATTATCCTGAAGTCATCTTCAGGCAGGTCACCCCTAGTCAGGACACACAGCACTAGCACCACAATCGCAATATATACCCCCCGCGGCATGATGCTATGTTCACGACGCGCCAATCTGCAAACAAAAAAAAACAATCAAAAATGTGTACAGACACACAAGATATACAAACAACAAAACGTGTATTTTATATGTTAGCTTGTTATATGTTCGTGTGTACATCTCGATCCTGTGTAGATATTATGTTTTACCTATTTGTTTTGTGTTAAAAGTGTTAGTATTATAAAATAATAGTAAATAAAGTATTATAAGAAGAAGTAAGTATGACAGAATGTGTCACGATATAGGTACTTTAATGTTGTATTATGAGAGGAGATTGTGGTACATTGTCTACATAGTCTCTAATAAGAGCGTAGAAGACGCACGCATTACTTTCGTTCGTGATGTTAATGGCAAATAGGGTAGTAACTATAGGGGTCCAACTTAGGATTGCCAACATTGTGTATGTCAAGGTGATAAGACCACTGGATTTCTCAATTTCGGGATTTCAGAGGGAGATACTATCCACTCTATGTGATTTACTTCCTTGAGGTTTTGGTAAACATACTTTGCCTATTCCAATATCCGACAATTACAGATAAAATAAGGTGCATCAAGTAGATCAACTAATTGGTGGATTTCAAATAATTTATTACACATACAACACAACACATACATCCTACACACTAAACATTCTTTGATTTATAGTATCTTATCAAGAGTGATAATTGGATGCAATACTTTAAGAATAGGTAAAAGCTAGGGTGTAAATATGATGGAAATGTGATACGAAATCATATTGCAAATTTGTATATACAATGCATTTTTTGCATTTCAGTTACTTTGTGCTTTAAGGTACGAGTTTGAGAATGTAAGGCGGCGATTTGCTTAATGGGAAAACCTCATATACCTACTATATGTATTTAAATTTAATAAATAATTACATTTTTATTCATTTTTTTATTAGCAGATAAGAGCTGTGCTGAGTGATGTGCTTACCATGTACAGAGCCATGGTTAAGCATAATTTATTGAAGAAAAAAAAACCTTATATCATTTACATAGCATACAACTTTACAGTGCAGTAAAACGCCAGTTTGTACAGCTTGACGCATGACCAACTGGATGCGTTATTTGTCTAGCGGCTAACCACATATTTCAGTTGTTTACATACAGCCACATTATGAGTTTACTTCTAGTGTGTAATATTAAGCATTTGGGACAATGATATTATACTATGCTCACTGATTCAGAAGTGTAAGTAGAGAGAGCTTCGTATAACAAAATTAATAATAACGAATTACATTAGGAGACATTTTTATTAGCATAAAATTTCTGTCTTTGTATCAAACCATAACTTCACATTCCAGAACGTCAACGACAAAATCATACCTAGTTATAATAAGACAAACATGGTAACTCCACACGGAGCACATAGAATAGCAGCGCGGCTTGTGCGGACGCACACATACGCATAATCTCGCAGTGCACTCGCAATGCATAGCGCGGGAAGTCCCACGCGCCATTCATTAAAGTGGTCGCTCGATGTTTAAAAAATGACTTTAAATAGTAGAAGTGTTTCTTGTTGTCTTTGTGGTAGTTTAAACAAGAACGACTCAAATTCAAAATTGTACAATATTTAGTTTTTATTTCATAATCATACTCGATCGACGATGGTACAAAAAAATCAATTCGTAAATACCTATTGCATTTAACAATGGATATGTCAATACAGCATGAGACTACTGTGATAAACACCTGAATGATTTCAAATTATATTTAGAACTGGAATAAAAATGTAACAACCCTACACTCCGAGCCAAACAGGCCGGAGTTGCTCTACTATGTCAAAACACTTATACCAGATTCTAATTCATAACTCGCGAGAACAACTTGCTTGAGAAATTTTCCGTGGTTCTACTGGAAATTCCTTTCAGAGTTAGGTGGATTCACAATATACAAATTCTGGCAATAAATTGCCACAATCTATCGAATTGCGCGATATGACCTTGAGTTGACCAGCCAGGAGCTGCGACTTTAGCTCCTGATTGGTCAACTCAAGGTGCATGGTGTATTACCTTTAGGCGGCAAAAAATTCCATCTTCATAACCTGTCGTAATTAGAAGAACCTACACTTGTTGGAACTGTCTTCTTACCAGCTACGTAATGTGCGCAAGAGATCAATGTTGGAAGATCTGCGAATTAACAGCATTTTTCTATTTCTGTCCTAAACGGAGCGCTCTGCAGTGCGTAGAACAATTTATTCGGATTTTTTCTTCAAGGTCAATGAAACAACCCTAAACAATTACTTTGGACCTACTGGAATTCACATTATTAACATACGTACTAAATAGGTCGTCGCAGCTTGCATGAGTTCGATATGCGAAATTTTGTTTGGTTGAGGCAACGGACAGTAATTTTATTATCCGTGTCACGTTGAACTGGAATTCCATTGAAAACTTCAATATATAACTTTCATAAACCGTGAAGAGTACAGCTCAATGATTAGTCTGTCAAAACTTCAATGAAAACTTAACTTATTCAATAATCTCAGTACAGAGTACTAAAAAATCGACCTCAAAAGTTCGTTGAATTACGTCTATTTGCTAAGTTTTATTGAAATCAGTTAACGGAAAGTGCGCGAAACCAGATTCATCCCTTAGTTTGCCACCCTTAGTGATGGAATATTATTACTAAGTATATTATTATATTTTTACTTCAAATTTAAATGGGACTACTACTGAGATACACTCTTTCCAAAAAAAAAAGAATCTTCAAAATTGGTTCACAAATATCTGAGTTATCGTGTAACACACATAATACAGTCGAATTGAGAACCTCCTCCTTTTTTTTGAAGTCGGTTAAAGTTAGCACAACAGTAATAATCTTCTCAGATAAAATTCATCCACGTTGTGGAAACTAATCAAAGTTTATTTGGAGGTTTAATTTGTACGAGAAAATAAATATAGTCAAGTTCTTCTTCTTCTACTTCTTATTGTATATATGGCATACACTAGAATGCTTGCTATCGTGGTGAAAGGATTTGGAAATCGGCATAAGGTACTCGCCGATTATTGGCCGGGCTGCGCCAGACGCATCGTGCGGGGAGACTCCTAGATCTCCTTAGTAATGGTAATAGTAAAAAATCAGAAACGTCAAACCAATATACACTGCTGCAATAATTATTAGGTACATAAAAAGCTTCCTACACTTTCAAGACCCTATGTTCCATGGGGATGGACAACGCATTTATGATATTCAAGGATACCTCCTCCACGTTCCATTACGCAGACGGTCTGAGAGCCCATTATATTTACGTGGGCAACTTACCAGTGCAGTAGTTCGCTAACAGCTACGAAAATCAGGCTTCTTGTTAGTCGGTTGTCATAGCTTGTATTTCTTCGTATTTGTATTGTTTACAATGTGTCTTTTGAAAACTAAACACTGTTTCATTCGCTCGTTAACTTTAGTCATACTGCATACTTTAGTGTCACTTATTTTTCAATCTTGTTCATTGTATCGTCTTGAATTTCCTGTGTTTGTGTAATTGCACTGATCCGCTCTAACTTTAAATAGGGAGCTCTGCTTAGCGGTAAAAATAAGTAGCCCTTGTTTTTCATAGAACGTAATGTTATACAATACCAAAGGGTGCGTAATTTACGCTTTTACACAACTAGATGAACCCGGAATGCGTTGCGATGCCAGTGAATGAAAACAAACGTTTTTTAACTCTGTCGGCGGCAGACGCATTTGTGGAAACAAAAGAAAGTCACGTAAGGGCGAAGTACACCTGCAAAACAACCGCCTTTTCGGCTGTCGAACCTTGTTGAGACTACTGGCCCACCTGATGTTTAAAAATTAGTCTAATACTTCAGAAACTCGCGCAACAACTAACAGGCACAACCATTCACGAAACTCATGGCAATGAGATGAATAATAATGGAACGCACAGGGACAAACGTACAAACAACAATATAAACGTTATATATGTATAGATTGATTACCATAAAAGTTCTCGTTACAGAGATTAATCATTGAGTCTTGGCGGTGCTCATCACGTTTCATCTCAAGATATTCTTGTTAATCTCATATATATATATATATATATATGCATATAGGTAAATTTATATAGAGATTAAAACACACACCTATTGTAAACAATACCGTGTTACTAAACTAATAACAACACTAGAAACCATTACGTCATGCTTGTAATTCTTGATGAGCATAAAGCAATTTGACTGGTTTATTATTATTGTCAAGGAACAATTGTTTTGTATAAAAAACATGTACTGATAGGGCCTGAGGGCCGGTACACCGAAATCGTAGGAGTATCTTCATACTCTTAACTTCTTAAGTGCTTTATGTTTACAAAAAATGGTTAATATTTTAATAATAAAACAATAATAATGCACGCATTCAACATAGCCCCGCACTAGGGAAACCCTGTGTCGCGGGTGCCACGAGAGAAATAAATGTAGGCCATACAAATATTTCTCCCGACCCGGGAATCGAACCTGGCAGTTTTTGCCCATTGAATGTATGAAATGATGTTTATGGTCGTACCTTCAATACTTACCTGGACAAAGTTAGTAAACAATAAAATAAAACGCGTAAGGGTGATTATAACAAATTATATTATTTTCTTAAAATACTGCCAGTCCATTTGAAATCGAAATACCAAATTGCATTAGATAATTATTGTAGTAATGAATTAAAAATACCAGTTTCCAATAAATATAAGACCAAAAGGGGTCGTGAAAATAAGTTCGTGCAACCTAAGGCTATGAATTACTATGGGCGGAGGCTAAATATGTTGTACCTCGTATATATATATATATATATATATATATATATACAGGGTTACAGGAAAAGTCGTGCTAGATCCGTTAAGGGCGTGGAGTACTCATCATTTCTGACTTATTTAACTATGAAACACCCTACCCTAAACTTAACCCTTTTCGAGATATTTGACTTTTATTTTTTTTATTCAAAATTGCCGATTTTTAGGCTACTAAATTTAATTTTGTTTATTTTGTGTGTCTTATTATTATAATTATTGCATTTTTACATGTGTGA